GTGTGACAGAGCTGCTCCACGGGGTTTTCTCGATTGCCCTTGAAGGGGTGCGGGGTGCCAGGCCTTTCTTTCAAGGCACTGCTGGATGGGCTGGTGTTACCAACCTGTGGTTATAGTTGAGCACCTACTTGAGGCATCGTCAGAGCTCATCTTCTGGGCCAGGATGTGGGAGTCGGGTGCCCCCACCCCCCACTGTGCTCATCCCTTGCTGGGTGATGCCGGGAATAAGGACCCAGCCCAGGCCCAGACCCTAGAAGCCACCAGGTGGGAGACATGCCTTCCACTCTTGGGGTCAGTGCTCAGGCAGGGAGAGTGGGAAATGGGGTCTTCGATGAAGGGTGAGGCTGGGAGCCCTCTCTGTCTCCACCAAGCAACCAGCCAGTCATTTCCTCTTCATTTCACTTTGTCTCTTGGGGGTCCCTTCTCCAGAACCCCAGCCCTCATCACAATTGTACCCCAACACCCCAGACTTCAAGTATCCCAGCAGTTCCTCCTGAACATCTGGAAACAGCAGTCCCCGCTCAATATCTCCTTCCTAGGTGGCTCCCTGAAGACCCCATCACCTGTCCCAAGCCCCTTCACACCTGAAACACATGCCACCCCCTCGAACCCCAAGCACCCCTGTGTCCCTGGTCGAGAGGGGGTCCTGCCTCCCCGTCACCTGCCGATCCAGCCCCTGGCACAGAGCAGCCCCTGAGGTTTTGGGCGCATGAATGATTGAATAAAAGAATTCATGAGTGGGATGGTGTCTGCTCCCCCGGAGGAACTATCAAATTGGTCTCTCTGGCTTTTAGGACAATGAGCAGCAACAGATCCCACCAGGCACCAGGACGTCTGGTCATATCAGGGTCAGGTTGCTCCAGAATCAGGCTTGTGAGCTGCGCCCCCAGCTGGCAGAGGGTGAGGTGCAGTGGGATCTCCCAGAATCTCCCTCAAAAAGCCCAACCCAACACACTGCCTGAGTCAATCCCAACTCACAGTGACCTTACAAGCCAGAGTAGCACTGCTTCCAGGGTTCCTGGGGCTGTCAGTCCTTACGTGGACAGACAGCCTCATCTTCCTCCCTTGAAGCGGCCGCTGGGTTTAAAGTGCCCACCTTGCAACTAGCAGTGCAATATGTAACCCACCAGGGCACCTTCAGACCCTCCCTAAGGCACTAGCAGGTTCTGGGGCAGGCTGTGGGGTGGAGGAAATCTCTGTGGGAGCCAGTGGTGAGGTCGCGTCACAGCCTGAAGGCGGTGACGTCCGTGAGGGGCCCAGCACTGGAGGAGAGGGAACACCAGGCAGTGGGCCCAGCAGGAGGAAAGCTCAGAGGCAGGAACGAGGGTGGCCAAGGGGCCCAGGCACGGCGAGGAGGGGGTGGTATTACAGGGGCCACACGAGGCATCAGGAGAACAAGTTTCACCCCGAGGTCAATGGGGACAAGGGCACAGTCGCGGTCACACTATCTGGATGACAGCCCCGTGACTCCACATTGTTTTCTTGCCTCACCGCCCGCCCCCGGACTGTTTCTCAGCCTGCTTCTGCTTCCTCACTCTCACTTCTGGGCCGAGGAGACTCTTGGGGAAACGTGCCCCTGGGCAGCCCCACCCCTGGGCGCTTTCAATTCCTTCTATGGCTCCACCTGCTGAGTGGGGTGTCCCCAGGTCCCACACTCAGCACCACAGGGACCTGGCCTCGAGCCCCCAGCTCCCCCAATGCCCCCCCCCCAAGCTCAAGGCACCTTTGGGTGCTCAAGACTCTGAGACAGGCTGTAGCTCAGCTGGACACAGTCGTCACCACTGATGGGCTGGGTGTGACTGGGGCTCAGCCAAGAGAGTGGAGGGGAGGGCATTGGGTCCCCCAAAAGATATGTCCGCTGCTGCTATTGGTCTCTCCTCATCCAGAGGAAAGAGCGATGGAAACCTAAATACTTAAAACAAGGAAACAATCAGTTCAACGGACCACATAGCACAAGGCTCAACTCTGAGACCCCAAGAATTAGATGGTGCCCAGCTTCCACTACCAACTGCTCTTGAAAGGATCCCATTCAGGGTCCTGGATAGATTGAGAGAGAGAGAGAGAGAGAGAGAGAGAGAGAGAGAGAGAGAGTGTGTGTGTGTGTGTGTGTGTGTGTGTGTGTGTGTAACAGAATTCAAAATCGACTACAGCCCTTATTCTTGAAGTGTGGAACTGAACTCACCTCCGGGTTAGAATAAGCACCCACTGACAACGGAAAGGGCAGCATTTACCAAGGGCACAGTTCAGAGCGTCAGCCCAGGTGGAGGATCGGAAACAGGAAACAGCGAGGAAGTGAGACATGAGCTGAAGCAGGAGGGTGGGTTGATGAATGTAGAGCTTCACTGAATTCACAAGTTGTCCC